AAATGCCATCAAAGGGTTCCAGTACTTCAGGACATTTATCAATAAGTTCCTTCAAATTATAGCGTTTACCTGATTTTTCTTTCCATACAAATTCTTGTGGCTCTAGGAATCCACAGTAATTTTGACTGAGAATAACTGGGAGGTCTAAAAATACAAATGAATTGATTACCGTATAGTGGGTTTGTTTCGTGAGGCTAAACTTTTGTTCTTTTCGTTCTTCAAGATGGGAGAACAAACAATTAACCAAACGAAACTCCAGTTTTAATGGGCATGGTAGCTTATTAACGTCTTCAGAACAAATGTTTAACCTCACGAAAGTCATTTTGAGGATGGAAAACAAAAATTTACTCTCACGAAACAAACCTGCTATACGGTATTCACGAGTCACACTTAAGTCATGAATATCATTATAATTCCAAGTAAAAAGGCACTACATGTACAAACTTGTTTTTCTCTCAAACATTCTTCTTACCAGTAATGTGATACACAGAATTGAATCCAATTCCAAACTTTCCAACTTTGTGTGGATTCTTGGCTTTACCGCTCTGCTGAAGACTCTGTATGCTCTCCCAGTCTTCTTTCCTGAAAGGAGCATTGTTATAGGAAAGGAGTGCAGGTCCAGTGAACTGTTGTGATAGCACCTCCTGATTCGCTTCTGAACTCACAACTGATAATAGTGATGGTGGGAGTGTTTGTAATACACGGCAATCTAAATAGAACTTGACCTCTGTGGCACGGGCATCGTCAGCATTCTGTATAATTTCCTGTTTGGGAATTGTTTAAACAGTAACAAGTGAAAGAGTGAAAGAATAGACAAAAAATGAAGCATAAGAACAGAAAAGAGAAGAAAGGACAAATATAGTTAGTAATAAAGCAAGTAATAAAAAAAGCAAAGTGTAAAAAATGTGTCCATGTCTATTACATAATTGCAGACAAAACTTGAGTATGGAAAACACATTATGGTCAATGTGGTAAACAAGAGAAAATGGCATGTGTCTTTACACCAATTTGCTTCCAATTACAGTATGTTCGGTCTCAAATTTGATTGTTATGATTATGATACTTTGAACAATATTAGGCACCACACTAGTAGCTATATAACTGCCATGCTACCATTATTATCATTTAAATTCAGTACACCACTGTTAAACAACACCATTTGTTAAGCCTAGTACACAATATAAGTCTTGCAACCGGAAGTACTGTATTAACCAATGGCACACTCGTCAATAACACAAGATAGTCTCGCGTAGCCAGACTCTCCACCCCTTTTTGACTTTTGGCCGCCGTCCNNNAGTCNNNAAGGGGTGGAGAGTCTGGCTACGTGAGACTAAACGCAATAGTTGAACTTTGGTCATGGATATACAACCTAACAGTATATCTATGCTTTGGTCAGCTCATGTGTCAACTTGCAGCGTTTGTACAGCACTTTCAGTGCACTTCCTGTCGTAACACATGATATTGTGTACTATGCCTTATACTCCTTGATCTACATTAAAGGATCAAGCATAATAATGAGCCACAGATTATTAATACAAGACAGGAATAGGCATACACACAGTACATAAAGGCATCACTCAATGACCTTAAAGATTTGACCACTGGGATATTCTCTCAATATAGTTCTAATCATTTCATGTAGCGGGGGCCTTCTCTGACCAAAGTCTTCACCATTAAGTTCTCGTGACATTTATCTATGACTGCTTCTTCTACAGCACGCACTGCTATAAATATTTTTGCACCACGCCCTGTTGGGTGATTTTTATAAGGGCGGGGCTGGTATTTTGCAAGAATGGCATCTAAAAGTGAGCACTTTAGATTCCCTTCTAATCTCTTTGTAATTTCTTTTTCTTTCATTTATTCTTTGTCTATCCTACTCTCTCACTTACTTTAATCATTTCTATTTTGTCCTTATTCTAAACCCCGTTACCTCTTATTCTCTACAGGCTATCAACCACTGGAAAGAGATGGGCACTCCTCAGTAAAGGTAGGAGACTGCCTATATATGTGGGGTGGGCTCCTTTCTGGAGTACATGATAGTAAAAAGGAGGAAGCAATGATGGATGTGTATCATTTACCAACTGGAACTTGGGACCAGAAACCTACTACTGGTAACCCTCCACCAGGTTACTGTGGCTATTCATCTGTTGCAATTGGAAGGGAAATTTATTACTTTGGTGGTGTTGGTATTGGCTATCATAACAGTTTACATTGTTTCAATGTGGATACATTCAACTGGAAAGAGCTTTCTCCTTCTAATTCTGATCGTGTTCCAATGATGAAGGCCTATTGTGGTATGGTATCAGCTCATTTCGATGATGAGGACTATCTTTTAATAATTGGAGGAAGTGGATCACCTTCTGTCAATACTCCAAAGCAACCTGATGCTCAGTATTCAGCTGATGGTAGATGCAATGAGATACATTATTACAGGATTTCATCAAGTTAGTAATTCTCATCTTTGATATACAATAGCTGCATGATAACTGAATAATTTATATCAATGTACATCATTCAACACAGTGTGTTTGTTAGTGTCATAATAGCGTGCCTTTGTGTATCATGTGTTTATGTGTGTTTCTCACTCATGTGTGGGCGTATATGTGTGTGTGTGTACTAATACATACATTATGATGTGTCTGTATAATAATATCGCATATATGAGAATGTGTGTGTGTGTGTGTGACGTATATCTATTTTATATGTGTGTGTGTGATATTAACTGACAATAGAAGGATGACACCCCTGCATGTCTCCTTCATATGTAAACTATAGGTTTCCATACATGAGTGTATCTCTGTGTGTGACACTTCTATGTAGTGATGTGTGTCTATGTAATCTATGCAAACTAT